CCCCAAAACCCCAAAACCCCAAAACCCCAAAACCCCTTTTTAAGGCAGAATTATTGAAATAATTTGATTGACAAATGTTGTCGGTTGAATCATCAACCTTGCTAAGATCCCTCCTGACAGCAATAGCTCAAGGAGAAATCAGTATTGAAAAGCAGAGGAAAAAGTTAGGCAAGCTTGTCAAGTACGAACCCTACTGTGCATTCCAAAGGATAGACAGGAGAAGAACAGGGTATGTCAGCAGCAAAGACATACTTGCTTTTCTGAGAGATAATGAATTTCAAGAGGAGACAGAAGCTGATACTTACTACCTCATGAAGTTCTTTGATGTTGATGAAGACTGTAAGCTCAACTACACTGAATTCTTAACCCTTGTCCTTCCTTGAGACAATGCTAAGCTTAGAAATGAGATAATAATGAGGCCTAACTTTTACGTTGGCTTGCTTGATTTCCTTCCAAAGACGATAGAGTACGAACTTTGCAAGCTCTTTGTTAAAGAGATAGCTTTCCATTCTAGAATTGAGAACATAAAGCAGGAGTTAGCTTCAAAGCCTGACTTTGATTCTAAATCAGGATTCAAAACGATTGATGATTGGAATTACAACTATATTGATTTTTCTAATTTGAAAAGGTTTCTAAAATCCACTGGTCATATAGCTACAAACAAAGAGCTTGCCGCTATCATCAGACGGTTAGATCTAAATGCAGACTCTCGCTTATCCTTCGAGGAATTTGATGAAGGAATTAAGCCTATTGAGCCATATTCAAAAGTTACATCAAAGAATAAGTCTAAAGCTAAGATAAGGCCTAATACAGCTAAATTGAGGTCAAAGAAATTGAAATCTTCAATTAGAAAGAAGAAAGTAAAGAAGAGATTTAGAAAAATTCGACATGCTGTTACCGATCCTTCATGTTGAGATAAGAGGAGTATCGAGCAATATGCTTATTCCCAAAGTAAAGCACAGTCTTCTTTACCTGATACCTCCAAACCCAAAGCTAGAGAGGGAGAGTCTACAAAGGAGGAGTTTGATGCATACAGGAGTCCTTCTGAAGCAAAGCTTGGGTATGACTCGAATCCTTACCACAAGTCATCTTCATATTTTGAAAATTATGAGCTGGACAGCAGATATGGGTATCCAGAGAGAATGCACACAAGTGTGAGTCCTCGCCATGCCAAGGAGCCTATAATGTACAGTCCAAGGAACCCTCCAGATAGCATGCCTGAGTTTGAAAGTACTCTTACGCGTGCTGATGAAAGAGAACTGGTGAGCGCCCTGAAAGATCTCCTTGAGATGGAAGAAGATTTAGAGAAGTACAAGATTGACCTTAGCCTAATGCCTGATTTTAACTTGATTGATCTCTTCCGGACTTTTGATACAACTGATAAGGGTTACATCACATTTGATGAATTCAGATCTGGCATGCACCTCTTTAGTGTTCATCCTAGTGAAGAAGAGGCCTTACTTTTGTTCACTCGATATGAAACTGTAGAGAAAGGAACCTTAACTTTTGGAGACTTTAGCAACATCTTCTGTCCAAAGGACAAGGAGTGCAGTTTATCTCTCAAAGCAAGGAAAGCTTTTTATATTAACAAGCAGTATAAAAACCTTAACGAATATTTTAATCCGGAAACAAGACATGCAGTTGAGAATTTACTGACTACCAATATTAGGGTAGAGTCATGCGTTGACACAATAAAAGACCATTTATCTCTACTCCCATGATTCAGTGCAATGGAAGCCTTTAACACAATTGATATGAATAATAATGGATATCTTGATAAAAAGCAGTTCAGCTTACTACTAGAAGCCCATGGAATCTACTCCAAGAATTGAGAGTACTTAGTAGACCGATTTGATAAACAGAAGAACGGGAAAGTCAGTTTTAGAGAATTCTCAGATGGCTTCAGAAAGTACTAAAGGGAACTTAGGGTTGTTTCCAGTTCAATTTTATCAATCTTTACGTTTTATTTAGGGGTTTTGGGGTTTTGGGGTTTTGGGGTTTTGGGG